TTGCTATCTTGCTCAGAGGAGACCAGGTGCTATAGCTCAGCTCATTATCCTTCTTTCTGCTTGCATTGTTGTTAAGTGCCATTGAGTCAATCCCGATTTAGCAACCTTGTATAGGGTTTCCAAGGAGTGGCTGGTGAGTTTGAACCCCCTGGCCTTGTGGTTCAAACCGACCTGTAGCCCATAGCACCACACCAGGACTCCTCTGCCTTGAATAAAATGATGAATTGTGGAACCATTGTGTGATGATGAGGCCACAGAGAGGACAAGAGCCAACAGACTAGAGATTATTAAGCAAAGAGAGAAGAGCTTGCGTCTCTGATTGGCAATGCCAGCAACCACCTACCTTGAAACGAATCAAGTGAGACAAATTATGTCCCATGTTTAAGCGGCTTTTGACCAGTTTCCGTGTTGCAGCTTCGTTCTTAACTATGCGCTAGAGTGCGCTGCAGCTGTAAATTATTATCTGCTCTGCTCAACCCCAATCAAAGACTTGCTCCACCCATTGATGATGCTGGTGCCCAGAGAGCTGTGTTTTGTACCACATGACTGTTCCCTCCCACCTGCTTGCCCCATCTGTTAGATCCTAACCTGAAATTAGCCAAACCATAGGCTGAACGGGAGCGGAGGCTCCTTTAGCTGCTGGCAAGACAGAAAGACACGGACGTAAATAGTGTGGTGAAGTTATGTGAATGGTGAATTCCTTGGGGGTCTCACTGAGGTCCCTAGAGTGACTCCACTGTATTCTTCCGTCCGGCACAGCCTGTTGTGGCCTCAGTTCTTGGATTTCTCCTCGATTCCAAGTGCATCTTACAATTTCCGCTGAGTTCCTCCCATAGCAGAGCAATTTTAGAAAGTAGATCACTGTTATGGTCATTCTCTGAGGGTGGGGTAGGGGAGGGGAGTGGTGTGAAACCCCTTCCCAGAAGCCCACGGGAAGCCACCTGCTCCAGCAAGGGGTGGTCCCTGGGTTCCCCAGAGTGCTCTTCTAGCAGAGGCTACCGGACTGGCTGAGCCTTTACAAGCATCTGGTTTGTGCTTCACTGGAGCAACAAGAAGGGAAAAAAAGAAAAGCAAATTCTTTCCAAGTGGACGTTGAACATGTAACCCCCTGGGGGTGTAACAGGATGGGAATAGAAACAGGGTCAGGAGGGCTCTGAGGACCAGGCTCTGACAGGTCACTGAGTGGAGAGTGTAGGGTGTGAGGCAGGACCTGTCAGCACCGGGAGCTGTAAGAGAAATGACAGGACTTGTTTGTGGTGGGGTTCTATTGGGTGGCGGGACTTCGGATGGGAGGGTGGGTGGCCTAGTGGGAGCGTAGGACAGCATTACTATAGGAATCCAGGGGACAATAGTCCTTTCATTGAGGAGGGCACTGTCTCTAGATCCTTGAGGACTGGTGCCACCAGCTGGGGCTGAAGGTCTCAAAGACAGTGGTATCAGACCAGACTCTGGTGGGCTGTGCCCCTGGGGAAGGGTCAGTGGGCCAGCCCCACAGGACCAGTATTTGCTGAGCACTCGTGTCCTACCCTGAACAGCCCTGTGCCAGTGGACCACACAGGATGCCTTGTCTATGGGTTACAAGGACTGGAGGAAACTCAGTGATTTGTTCTGAGCAAGGGGTCTATGAGGAAGGTCTTGGAACAGGGGTAAATTGGTAGATGGAATGTGGAGCATGACCTAGAAATAGGCTCAGGGGTCTCCAGAAGCCTGAAGACTTGGTACCAGTGGCACGGAATCTGAGACAGCTCTGCGGGAGGTCAGTTGGACACTGGGCTTATATTGGGGGTCAATGGGGAGGGTGGACAATATTCCGAGCTAGAGAAGGACCCTTGGGAGTCATTTATGTAAAGTGGTCAGTAAGATGATTTGAAGTGGATAGGACAGTGGAGATTTGAGAGGAGGAGGAATAAAACCCTGGAGAGTCTAAAAGGACAAAGAGAGGAGACTGTGGAGAGGCAGGGAGAGAGTGTAGCCAGCGAATCAGAAGATACCCTAAGGGGCTGGCTACACCAAGGAGAGAAACATTTCAGGAAGCCCAAGATGGCCACCTGCAGGTCGGTTTGTGGCAGAGTTGGAGGGGAAGAAACCAGGGAAATGGAAGGCCACTTGTAAAAGTAACTCTGGGGGATTCTGGGGATAGAGGTGTTTGGCAAGAGCCCAGCTCAGGAGAGAGATTAGACTGGTATTGGGGTCTGATGAGAAGAAATGAAGTTTTCTAAGGATGATGGCCTGGGGGTTTCTCTAGGCAAATGCAATGTCCTTGGAGGTTTGTTCAACTCCTGTCCCCTCTCACAATGTTGGCCCTTTCTGACTCACAGATTCCCTCAGCCTTGCTTATTCCTTTAATTCCAATTTCCATTTTCATGGACACTGAGTTTTCCTGACTCCTCCAATCACCTTGACATTTCAGAAAACTTGCTGGGGACACTGACCACAGTTTTGATGAGACAGTGCACCTCAAGGATGGTCTCTTTCATCAGATGTGTAATTGGGCTGTGGGATTGGGTTTCCAGGTAGGACTGAGGCACCTGAAGACTCAGGGAATAGTGTGATAAATTGGTGTTTTTTGTTTTTTTTTTAAATAAAATGGTGTGGCCCTTCTTCCAGGTCTTCACAGAATCACACCAGGGAAGTTTTGCTGTTCCCTCTTAGGCCATTCTCTGACTCCTGCCATATCTTGAGACCAAGGTCAGCAGCACAGGGCTTTATTGATGGTTAAAATAAGGCCCCTGGATGCCCCTGCTCTGTGCATGGCCTTTCTGGGGACTCTGCAGCTGTCCCCCCACTCCTGAAGGCTCAGTATCTGGTGTGGAGAATGGGTGGGGGGAGCAGTTGTGTGCACAGGGACGGGCTGAGGTTTGAACATTAGACACATTTTACTAGTCATTGTACCTAGAGAAAGTACTAGGCAGTCTGCCAGCCCCTCCTGCCTCCATGCCCACTGGCTGCCTGCCCCCAGTCATCCTGATGAAGGCTCTCTCCCTGCCCTTACCCCTTGTCCCTACTGTTGACTTGCTATGGATTCAACTGCCCTGGCCACCACCCATCTTGCTCAGAGGCCCTCTCAAACCCCAAGCCAGATCTGGCTCACTCCTGCCTGGGAAGTATATGTGTGTGGGATACTCAATCCTTTGACACAAAGTTTGCTCCCTAATGACTTCGGGCTCTTATCTCTGTGAGAGGACAACAAGAACCATGTCCAGTGTCCCCAGCCTTAAGGTACTCCATGTGCTTCAAAGTGGGTCCTTCTTTGAGATATGTAGCATGTTCCCAGCACCCGCTTTAAACTGCACCTTCCTATAACCTGGGGTGGTGGTGACTGGCCTGGAAGTCTAGAACCTGCTATAGATCCAAGGTGTGAGATATCTACTCCCAAGCCCTGATACTGGCTGCCTTTTTAACCTTGTAAAAAGGGCCTGCAATTATAACGTCCTTTCAGACAGACTACTTACTTATCCCCACCCCAGTACAGGATGGGAACTATTGGCTCCAAATACTGCTCTACCTCATACCTCAGTTCTTCAATTTCAGAATACCCACACCAGACATTCCAGGGTATTGTCTTTCTCGCACACTAGTTGGATGTGGTTGATACTATTCAGTTGAAGGCAGAATTGCCTGCAATCCCTCAGGACTTTTTGCATGGTTCCTAGGTTACGGTTCTGTGGCTTGACATTGTTCTGTGACCTGCCTTATTCGGTTGCGTATCTGTTCACATAAAGTTGTGTTTCACCTTTCATTGATGTCCACCTTCCTCATAGAGGCGTTCAGAGCATCACAGATACGTCTGAGGAGACTGACAAAGAAGATATTTGTGCATATGATTACTATTTGCTTCCCAAGACGAATCAGGGGAATTCTGAAAGCCAACAAAATCTCCATGTCCTTGGTAATGCTAAAAGTCCCAAAGAACAACAGCCATCAGTTAAAGAGACTGTTAAGTTGAAACTAAAAAGGCTAAAATAGACCCAATCTATCCCATCACTGGCCTTTAGTACTTGAAGGAGTTTAGGAAAAAAAAATGTAGTTCTTTATGGGTCATAGGCTAAAGAGGGACAGTTTACACAATTTGGACAAAATAGAAGTACTCTTACCAATAAATATGTCTCAAAATGACAAATAAAGCTTTCCTGACTTGGTGGCTCCAGATCCCAGAGAGACGTGACAGGCACAGGCACAATGAGCTATGTACAGAGTGTAAACAGTAAGGCCCTTGAGGGCAGGAAGGAGGACTGGACCAGGTGATGGATGTGTGTGTGTGGAGGTGCCTGGGTAAGCGGAAGTGGGCCTAGGGTTCATTCAATACACCAAGCTTGTATTCAGTACATCATTTTGCCACCAAAGCTTGTGGGTGGTTGTGGCAGTTCACAGAGTTCCTCCTGTTGGCAGTAAGAGGAAGTAAATGTATCCAGTGACGAGGCTGGACCCCACCTGCTCCCTCTCGCTGTTACGTGCTGTTGAGTAGATTCCGCCTTATAGCGACCCTCTATAGGGTTTCCAAGGAGCTGCTGGTGGCTTTGAACTGCCATACTTACAGTTCCAACTGACCTCGGGGTCCAGTTTTATGTGCAGCGCCACACCAAAACACTCCATTCCCTCTCCCTCTCAGCATTTGGGACAGCAAAGCCAGGCTTCTGTGCTCTTCCACAAGAGGAGAGGCAGGCCTGCCTGGGCCATATTTAGGACTGTCCACCCAGGGTTCAGGGCATAGTGGACGGAGCAGTGTTTCTTAAACAGGGACTGGAGTAAATGTCCCATGGAACCCACAGCGTCTCCATGCCCAGTCCCTCTGAGAGTGAGGCTATGTTCAGGAGGGAGGTGGCGGTGGTGCGGCAGGACTCCCCTACAAGGGCCCCAGTTCCACCACAGTTTCTCGGGGACAGCACAGAGCAGCCTCTCTTTCCAGTTTCCGGGTCCCTGCTCCACACGGGCCTCTTGAATCAAGCCATGTCACCCTATCCCCGACTCCCAGCACATTCCACCGCCTTGCTCAGGGGTCTTTAAATATCAGTCTCCCGGAGGTTGCTGAAGTCCGCCAAGTCGTAGACCTGACAGGCGGCTCCCTCAACAACGTCGTGGGGGACGCCCAGGGACACAGCCTCCACCTCTGTGCGCAGGGCGCACGCCGTGTCAGCACGCTGCAAAGCGCCCCCAGTGCGGATCTTGTGCGATAGGCTGGAGACCTTGGCACGCAGCTGGGTGGTCGGCCTCCGGAAGGGCCCGAACAGCCTCCACTCAAGGAAGGCGCAGGGAGGCTTCCGCCCACCCGCTGTCGGAGCCGATGTCTCGGGCATGCCCGGTGAGCTAGGGGAAGGGGGCACGGTGAGGGCTAGTGGGGCCCCGGGGGGCGCGGCGCCAGGGCTGGGGGCCAAGTCGGGGTGCAGGTCGCCTGTGGAGACCCTCCAGTGGTGGCCGTAGACGCGCCAGAGGGGGCGCCGGCGTCGGCGCCGACGGCATTGGCAGCGCAAGAGGCGGAGAAAGGCGCGCTTGAACTCGCGGCTGGAACAGGGGTAGATGAGCGGGTTCACGCAGCTGTTGAAGTAGCCGAGCCAGAAGATAACCTTGAAGACGCCCTCCGATGGCTTCAGCTGTGGGAACAGGGAGCCTGGGGGGCCAGAGAGATACAGGTTAGGTTCTCAGGGACAAAAAGGGCTCTAGAGTCTCGGAGAGGGGCACCCACTGGTACCAGGGGCTCTCAATCGGGTTCCATGGATCTCCCCTCTAGGGTACCTTATACGAGGGGCTTCAGAAAAGTCTGTGGACAAAACGACTTTATCTTTTAATTCCATTTATCCATGAACTTTTTGAAGCCCCCTAACATTAATTCTAAGGCGCTCTGGTAGCTTAGTGGTTACAAATCGGGCTGCGAATCTCAAGGTCAGCAGTTCGAAACTACCAGCTGCTCCGTGGTAGAAAGATGAGGCTTTCTGCTCCTGTAAAGCCCCGGAAACGCTGTTCAGGGTCACTATGGGTCAGAACCAACTCCACAGCACTTAACAACAACAACAACATTAATTCTGAAGGAGCTCTGGCAGCATAGTGGTTACGAATCAGGCTGCTAATCTCACGGTCAGCAGTTCGTAACTACCAGCTGTTCCATGGGAGAAAGATGAGGCTTTCTGTTCCCATAAAGATTTAGAGCCTCAGAAACCTTGTACAGGGTTGCTATGAGTCAGAACCGACCCCACAGCACATAACAACAACAATAACAACATTAATTCTGGAGTCCTGGTGTGGCGCTGTGGGATAATGCGTTAGAATACAAAGTTATTTGAGCCACACAGTCGTTGGTTCAAGCTCACCAGGGTACTTAACAACAACATTAATTCTGGAAGTCCATGAACTTGAATGAGGGGGAAAATCATCTTTTATACTCACCTCCACAGGAAACTCTGGTAGCATAGTGGATTATGAGCTGAGCTGCTAACTACAAGTTCAGCAGTTTGAATCTACCAACCACTCCACGGGAGAAAGATGAGGCCTTCTGCTCCCATAAACATTTACAGCCTTGGAAACCCTATACAGGGTTGCTCTGAGTCGGAACCGATTCCATGACACATCACCACTACCACCACCACAGGAAACTGAGCATTTCCTTTAATGATGAGGCGAGGCAACAGAATCAATTAGGCAAAGTATATGAAATGGCTATTTCTGTAGGTCAAAACAGACACACTATTGGCAGTTTGGCCTAATGTTAGCAGCTCAGCTCCTCATTATTTGTAAGGAGCTCTGGTAGTGTAGTGGTTACGAATCAGGCTGCTATCCTCAGGGTCAGCAGTTTGAAATTACCAGCTGTTCCGTGGGAGAAAGATGAGGCTTTCTGCTGCCATCGAACCAATTCCATGGCACATAACAACAACAACAGCAACTTCACTATGTGTAAATGTGACTGAAGCACATTTTGTTGTTGTTGGTGTTAAATGCCGACCCACAGAGACCCTGTATAGGGTTTCCAAGGAGCAGCTGGTGAGCTTGAACCGCCGACCTTGCAGTTCAAATGGCTTTGCAGTCTGGCGCATTAGCCCACAGCACCATGCCAGGTCTCTGTATTGCAAATTTCATTTCAAGACACTTTGAAATTTCTCTTTGGGATGATGAAGTTTTGGAAATGGATGGTGGGGATGGTCGTACATGATGAATATAATGAATGTCACTGAATTGTACACTTAAAATGATCCAAATGGCAAACTGGCAAAATAAATATTTTGACATCCATTTGCAATCATTTGCATTTTATTTTACATATATGGCTCTGAGAAGGGATCTCTAGGTTTCTCCAGATGCCTAAATAGTCCACAGTACTAAAAGGGGTAAGAACCCCTGAGTGAAATGTAGACCAGGGTTTGCCCTGGGTCAGGCACCCAGCTGGCCTTGTATTAGTTACCAGGAACCCTGGTAGCACAGTGGGTAAGTGCTTGGCTGTGAACCAAAGGGCTGGCAGTTTGATCCCACTAGCTGCTCTGTGGAAGAAAGAAGAGGCAGTCTGCTCCTGTAAAGATTACAGCCTTGGGAACCCTATGGGGCAGTTCTACTCAGTTCTATTGAGCAATTATGAGTTGGAATCAACTAGTCAGCAATGATTTTTTTTTTTTTTTTAAACATGCCTTGCTCCTTAAGAAACAAAGTGAAGAAAGTACCATGGAACTGAGGTGGGAGTGCTGATGTTACTCCCCAAGGACCTGTGGGTAATCCCTATGTACTCAGGCTCAACAAATTTCCCATGGTCTCAAAATATGGTCAGTCAGGCCCTATGGTCCTAACAGACAATGAAGCCAACCCATCAAGGACTTCTATGAATGACTTCCGGATTGAGTGTCTTGAACACAGATAACAGAGAGCCGGATAGGAACTCCATCTAGGGCTAGGCACTCTGCGGTCACATCCCTCCCAAACCTATCTCATGAGCTCCTTGGCTTGAAGGAGCTCCACACAGTTTTATCCTCTACAGGTCCAACAGCTACAATGATTTTTGTGTGTGGATATTTCCCCCCCCTTTTGTTGTTTTATTGTTTTTGTTTATTCTTTCTCCTCTTTCCACTCCCTGTAATTCCATCCTTTATAGCTCTGGCTTTTGTTTTTCCTTCTTTTCTTTGATTTTTATTTTCTCCCCCACCCCCACCCCACATTTTATCTTTCTTTACTACTCTCCTCTTTTCATCTTCCCTTTACCTGGTTTTTATAATATTAAAACATTTTACTTCCTTTTATTTCCTTTCTTATTTTTATTTTGTATAGCTTCATTTTTCTGTGTTTCTTAAGTTGTTCTTAATATGTTTTAAAAAATTTATTCCAGGAGACAGTTGGTAAGAACCTAAGAACACATCAACATATATTCATCATTTAAATACAAATACCACAACACCATAATGCCCCAGAAACAACAGACAATTTTAGCTCACATGAAGAACAAGAGAGAATGGCTTTTGTCAAACAAATGACCAAGATGCAGAGCCAGAAAACATTACTGAAGGAAGAAAAGGTAATGGAATTAACTGAAAAAGAATTCAAAAGAATGATATGTAAGTACCTCAAATGACTGACAGAAAGATGGAGGAAAGCAAGGAGAACAGAGAAAAAGCTTTAGAAGAAATAAAAAAGGACTACAAAAGAACAAACAGACAAAATAAATTCAAAATTTGGAACAATATAAAAGTTGAAATTAGAAACCCAGAAGATTAACACTAGGATTTCAGAAATGGATAACATATTGAAAGGGCAAAGGAGTAGATTTGAAGCAATGGAAGCCTGAATTAATGAGCTTGCACATAAATCTCTCAATATTAGTATACTAGAAGAACAGAAAAAAGAATGAAAAAAAATCTGAAGAAACCCTAAGAGGTATGTGGGACACCATGAAGAGGAACACCTAATGAGTGATTAGAATTCCAAAACTGGAAAAGACAATAAAAATTGCAAAGAAAAATTGTCAAAGAGTTGCTGGAAGAAAATTTCTCTTTAATGTCACAAAAGATGAGAAGACAAGCATACAAGAATCTGAATCAATCTCAAACAGGATAGACCCCAGAAGAAAATCACCAAGACATATCATAAGCATGCTTTCTAAAACCAAAGATAAGAATCCTGAGAGCAGCTTTAGAAAAACAAAAAGTCACCTACAAAGGAGAACCAATAAGAATAAGTTCTGATTTTTCAGTAGAAACCATGCAGACAAGAAAGCAATGGGATGACATATATAAAACTCTGAAAGAAAAAAATTGCCAACCACGAGTCATATACCCAGCAAAGTTGTCCCTCCAATATAATGGAGAAATTAGGACATTTGTTGGTAGGCTGAAATGAATTTTTAATGACCAGACCAACTTTACAAAAAATGCTAACACATGTTCTTTGGACTGAGAACCAACAACAGCAGACACAATTGGAGATTACCATACATGACAATGCCACCCAGAATTCAATCCAGATACAGAAATATCTGAAGTCAAACAAGACTGAAAATAGGGAACTAGAGATGTTAGTATATAGTGAAGTCAACTACAAAGTAAAAAGAGAGAATAGTGTAGATATAGAACTTCCAAATGGCAAGGAAGTCAAGTTGATTTCAAGATAAAACAGACTGTTTTAAGCAGAGAAAACATAATAAATTACAAAGAAACCTTAACAAAAAAATCAATAATAACCTGCACATCAAAATAAAAAAGAGGAAGATCAGAAAGATTTAGTAAACATTAACAGAAATGAAAATGAAAAGAAAACCCACAAACAAAATGAATTCAGCACAGAAAAATTTTGTGGAACAAAGAAAACAGTAGCACCACAGAAAAACACAGCAAAATGACAGCAATCAATTCATACCTATCAATAATTACACTGCATGTAAATGAATTAAACGCAGCAGTCAAAAGACAGAGAAAGCAGAATGGCTAAGAAAATAAGGTCTACAAGAAACACATCAAAAAGATGGCGACAGCCTAAATGTCCATCAACAGAAGAATGACTGAACAAACTTTGGTACATACACACAATGGAAAATTACAAAACAATGACTGAAATGACGAATCTGTGAAACATCTCACAACCTGGATGAACTTGGAGGACATTATGCTGAGTGAAATTAGTAATCACAAAAGGACAAATATTGTGAGAGACCACTGTTGTAAAAAGTTAATAAAAGATTTTCTTGATAAAGGAAACAATCTATGATGGTTGATAAGGGGAGAGGGAGGGAAAATTATTCATGACTAGAAGGTATACACATGTTAACATGGATGACCAGGCAAGCAATATACAAGAGGGAAGTCAGAAGAGGAAAGATGAAGATAGTGGGAGACACAGGGAGGAATGCACAAGTTAAAGTGAACAGAAGTAAATACGGTTAACTGTTGGTACATGGAGGGGCTTGCAATCATTGTAATGAAGCAAAGTAGATGATATGTTGACGTAAGACTGATGATCTGCTCCATAAACATTCATTTAGTGCACAATAAAAAGTTTTTTAAAAGATGGTCAGCCAGAATGGAGAGAAGCAGAGGGCCTTCTAAGTGGAAGAGATGGACAAGAGGACAAGTTTGGGGCCTGGGAGTATCCTGTACGATATAATCCCAGAAAACTTTATTTGGGATAGGTGAAAAAGGGTCTTAA